TTGAGTAGAAGTATCACAAGTTCAGTTTTGTACACTGCCAATCGATCAGATCCATCCAATGTAATGAGGCTCAGGAGGGTGGGCATTCTTTTATTAGCATTTGAAAATATTTGTAAAAGTTTTGTTTAATTATAAACTCTAATGTGTAAAACCAAAATATACCAAGGTTTTTAACTGATAACATCTTTAACGTCTAACACTACATTTTCAAGCTTAGTTGGACTGTTGTTTTGAGTTTATACAGAGTTAAAGATGTGGTACAGTCCGATCTGCGCATGTGCACAAAGGAGCCCTCTTTACAAACAGTTTATTTAGGTTTTTATTTCATTTATGTTCTTATGTTGTGTCTTGATAATTTATTATACTCTAGAATCATGAAAATATAAATAGTTGTCGAATAAAATTCAATATTTTGGATACTAAAATGTAAACAAAGCCTTTGTTTACATACAGACTGTACCGCATCTTTAACTCATTAAGTCTCATTGCGCCGCCATGCGCCCTGGAATTGGGAACGGGGTAAGTCTCATTGCGCCCCTCATGCGCCCTGGATGACACGTCAACTTCTGGGCACGATTGTCTAGCGTGTGTTTATCGGGTTGCCTAGCAACGGTCACGAGTATAAAGTGCAAAATTCGGGCTTTCAAACGATACATCATGCGAGAAAATTGATCAAAAGTTTGCGAAGATTTTCAATTTTAAAACTCTATTTTTTTACAAAACCTGTGACAACCGCAAAGTGTCACAAGATAGGACTTTTCAGCAAGTTTTAAGGATGAAAAAGAAGAGGTTTTTAAAGTGTTTTACATATAAAATATATTGTTAAACATAAGGGAGTGTGCATATGTTTCAAGTCAAGTTCTTGTCCAAATCAAGTCGTGCGATTTTCAGCCAGAAAAACAGCAATTTCTTTCGATCTAACGGAAAAGTGAAGTGGGAAATCGCAAGAAACATGAACACTAAATCCAAGTGAGTAGTTACGATTTTTTTGAGCGTGTTTTTGAATGTAAATACCTGGCATGTTTTCATGAAATACGATATAGCATTAAAGCAAGTTCAATGTAGTTTAAAACTAAGTTTTTAGAAGAACATTTCGACTGTTTTTGTGACCCTACTGTTGATCGTCTTGCTCAAGTTGTTATTTTAGCCGAAGTACTTTCAGAAGACAGTAGGTTCAACTTGTCATGTGCGTATATACATTTTTGGCAAGAAAAATTTCGAGTAAAACCGCATTAAAACTAAGTAGAATACTCTACAATGAATACTATATCTGTTTCTATAAACTTTGTCTCGAAACGAGCTCTCATTTCAGAGATAATGTGGTTTAAAATCAGTGTATTGAATTATGCCGTTACTTGGCGCGTGCGAATTCTGAACCTTCATGACAGGGATTTGAAAAGCTTCTAAAATACACTTTATTGCTTCATATATCCCCATAAAATTTTTAAATCAATAAAGCACATCATAAAACTAATGTACGCTCATTTTCTAAGAAGTACTCATCGATTACCTGAAGGAAAAGTTTAAAATAGGTCAGGAGAGTAGTTTACAAAATGCCGTTCTCCTCTGAAATGGCTTCTTTTGCGGGAAGCCATTAAATTTATGTACTTTCCAAAATTGTAATTTAGTCGCTTTTTTGGTCTCATTGTTCACTTATTTATCATGGAATTACTTCGCTTGAGCTCTTTTAATAATATCTGCAAGATACTTTGCTATTTGGTGAAATAAAAGCTATATTTTTAGCAGTTTATCTTTTGAAAACTGCATGCGCAACAAAGTGACACCAATGTGTTTACTCTCGTCTGACAAACAACCAAAGATGAAATACTTTATTTCACTCTTTTATAGCAATCTAAAATGCCTAAATATTAGATTATTCATTTTATTTGAGCATACATATTATATTTTTATACAACTGGTCCTTGAAAAGGACTTATTTCAAGCTAGAGTCAGATTTCAAACTAGAGTCAGATTTCAAAAGAAACCGCCTGTCTGACATTTTACAGCAACCTACAATTTTGGCACGCACAACATACGTTTTAGCCACAAATCCGTTGTTTTCTCAACAGAAACAAAAGGAATTTCAGTTAAAATTCTTACCTGATGAATATTCAAAAGTGTTTATCTCTTTTTGACGACTTTCAGTGCTCTTAATAGCGAAATAAAAAGCCTTTTGTTTTGTCACCGCACGCTGCGTTTGAAAATGCCGCTGTCAAAGTCAGAATTGAAAACACCTCAAATATTTTAAAATTTTCTCACCTTTTTCATCCTTTGTTTATATTTTAATTAGTAATTTTTGTACTTTGTGTTTTTCCAAACATATTTGAGCTATTTAAAAACTTCAAAGAGGTACAAACACTGTGTTTTTGGGTTACAGAGTTTTTGGACTTGAACAACAAGTTCTGAAGTTCAAGTTCTCCATTGTAAACTAGATGTCCTGAGTGTGCCTGAGCCATGCCCAAGCAAATTTTTATAGCGTTTCATTATTTTGTAATTTATACCCTACAAGATGAAAACTAATTTGAAAATAAATGTGTACCAATCCAGGAATCAAAAAATATTTCTCCATTTATGTTGGGTTATTGAATTATTGCCCTTCAGATGTTGGGTGTCATGAAGAAACAAAATGTCAGAGACTTAAATTTACACAAACCGAGAATTCTCACCCAAAAATCTAATGATATATTTAAGTGTGGGAGCTCATTTAAAATAGAATTGATTAATCATTTATTATTTTAACCCACTGCAAAATTTCAAGGTTTTTTATAACATTGATCTGGAGATATGGGTATTTTTGTAAAAGCAGTTGACAGAAGTTGACAGTAACTAAAATTCGCCAATTTCCTTGCAACTTGGGGAGTGCCAATGTTGCAACAGTCTGCAACTTAATGAGTTAATCATACAGAAATACAGGACCAGGATTTAATTCAATATCTCCTGAGACCATTAGTTTCCTTTGATATTGTTCATTAATAATTGGCAATATTGCCTGCTATGTTTTGACTGGTGATTTTATTCTTCTGGGAACTATGTAATACGTTTACAACAAAGTATTTCCTTCCTCGCAGCTAAAGTGTTCGTGTGTGACTGCCAAATGGTAATCATTTCTGTTTTATTAAAAACATGAACAGATTTTGAAAGAATTAAAGTGAGTTTTCACTGTGGTAATATACAGGATTTCCTGCATTTAGCAGAATTTTATGTTGCATTTTACGAAAAAAAAAACCCCGCCCACCCGACCTAGAAAAATTAAAATGGGTGGACGCAAAACAAGTGATTTTTTTATGTGGCCTAACAAGAGGAAACACCTACTTAGAAAAGTGTTAACAGAAAAGATCTGACATTATTATTAAGCCATGGTTTAGTTTGAGCAATTAGTAAGGTTTCTTTAATAAGAATATCATTGTTAGAATTAGCTGAATTTATATTTTAAATATTTTTCTGTACTTTTTATCTTTTATATGCTAGATAAATACAGGAATAAGAATGAAATGAGCCAAATTACTAAATATTGAAACTATATGTAACAAGAAAAAAGAAACGATCTTAGATTGAAAACTAAAAATAGATGATGAATTACGTATATCGGAATTCAACATATTGAAAAATTTTGGTCCTTGATAATTAACAGAAAATAGGTGAGTATTTGTCCTGCAACAAGTAGATGTTTTCAAATTTCAATACTTTAAGTTCGTCAAAAATAGGACTGGTATGCACACCAAAGTCCTGTTTATCAATGATTTGTAACACACGTTTTTGTAGAACAACAATGCGATTGAGATTAGTTGAATACGTCGATCCCCATACCGTAATACAATATGAAGATATGGATATACCAGAGCAACGTAGAGGATTCTCAAAGCTGATTTGAAGAGAAAAAAACTTGATCTATATATAATTCCAATAGATTTAGAAATTTTATGAGCATCATGGGATATAGAATTTATCAGACCCATTAAAGATGACAAGTTATCATGAAAATAGAACAAGTTAGTATCGTCAGCAAATAGAATAAACTCTCCAATGTCCGTAGCATTATATATATTGTTTATATATATTAAGAACAGTAATGGGCTGAGGATTGACCCTTGAGGAACACTGCATTTTATTGTGTTGAACAGGGGAACAAATGCCATTGTATTGTAAATATTGCATCCTATTAAATAAGTAATTTTTTATCCAATCAAGAACCAGTCCTCGGATACCACAGTGTTCGAGTTTGGAAATTAAAATTTCATGGTCAATAGTGTCAAAAGTTTTCAATATGTCAAGGAAAATACCAACAGTGTGCTCATTGGCATCAAAGCCTGTGGAGATTTTGTCATAAATTAGGTTTATGCCTAAGTGCTAATGAGGTTGAATGATTTTTTCTAAAGACATATTGATTTTTAAATAATATCTGATTAATATTTATATAGTTCATTCATTTTTTGGTATATTGGTCTATAATTAGAAAGCGACATGGCTTTGATTTGACCACAAAGTGACATGGCTTCGATTTGACCTGTTTTTGTAGGGTTTTTTTCTATATTTTGGGCCTGATATATGCTTTGTTCATCACGTCTGCCATCAACATCTTTGAGAACGTACATAGGATTTCTTAAAGCTTTCTTTCGTATTCGAAATGACTTGCCAGCCATAATAATTTACTGCTCTAAGTCAGCATCATCAAGAGAACATGTCTGCGCTAAGGACCATAAACGATTGTGAAATTGGTCCAGTGTTTCTTTTAGTTTGTGGAAGAATTTGCATTTGAAAATTAGGTCAGGGATGATTTGGGTAGAAATAAGGTGCAGAACTACTTACTGCAGGTGCTGATATTGTTGAATATTCATAGCAAGAGGAAGATTGGCCTTTTTTGTTTTGTTTTGATTCATCTTTTCTTTATCATAATTTGCCTTCTGTCTTTTTCTATTTTATTTTAGGCAGTGACCTGAGTTCCCATCAATTTTTGCTGCAAGTATGTTCATTTCCATGCCACGCCTGACTTCATGGTCAATTTACTTTCGAAAGTTTCGATCTCTAAATGATGGGCCTCTTCCACATGCCGCTCTTCCCTCTTTGCACTCTTTCAACTGTGCCTCTATAAGGTACTGTCCCTTGTGTCCATATATGAGCAACATCTAGCAAAGAAAGATTTTTCCCGTCACGATTGGCCCAACTTGCATGAATTACTTCTGCTTGGTTCATCCTGGGCCCAGCAGAAGTAAAGTCATTGAATATAAATTATTTACATTCGTCCCACCATTTCAACCAGGATACCATGCATTCCTGTTCTGTCAGGTTGGTTTCAGTAAAGTCATTGAGTTCTTTCCTGGCAGCAGTGTACCCATCTTCAGTTCGTTTCTCAAATTCTTCAGCACTTTCCACATCAAGAAGTTTTACCCTTCTATTCACAATTTGCTTATAATGAAATTTGCATGTTTTAACTTGTTCAAGAGCTTCATTTCCAAAAATCTCTTTTATGCCAATTAGATTTGTTCCCGCCATATCTGTGCACCATTATTCTATAGGATTAAAGCTCGCATTGCTTCCTGGTATCTCCCTGCAGAATGCTTCTTGGAAAAATTTCCATCACTGCCAATGGAATATGCTTTCTTAGAAGTGGGTGATAAACACCTGCCCGTAATGTGGTTAAATTTCTGCAGATTTTTGTTTCGCATCGAAGAAACAATATCTTTCACTGAGGAAATTATCTCCATCTTTATTTAGGTGATGAGCAATTTGTAGCTTAGTTGAACTTGTTTTGAACACAAACGATGGCAAATCAGGATTTCCCCTTGAATCGTTTAATGTGTACACATAGAATGTATCCCCTTTCTGTCACAGAAATTCTTTAATGTCACAAGTCCTTCAAAATTCTCTCCTAAAGGATTCACCTCCTTCCAAACAGTAGCCTTTTGGTTTTCGATCCACTTTCAATCAACAAGTGGACTGGCTTGCGCATCAATCTTGCTCCAGCTTGTTCATGTTGCATGACACAAGAAGAGCAGACTGAACTTCTGAAGGTTTTAAATTGGGATTTTTTAAACATTTCCTTTGCAGTTTCCACTGGAATTTCTGAACTTTGACTGCGAACAGGGCATGGGTGGAGTCCACAGTGGAAAATGTTTAGCTTATTCTGTTTTATCTGAATGTAACGCCTAGCCTAGACAATAAACACGATCTGCATGCATCATCCCTATTAAATTGCAGCTTACTGATAACACAATATTCTTTTTTATATGTGCATTTCATTATTGCAGATTCTAGAGCCACAACAATCTGTGAAAAGCATATGCCAATAGCCAAACCCAACTTGTTGTTGATTCTTTCAACCAACGCCTTCTGTCCGAAGACAATACCTTGCGGCTAGTTTTAATGTCTGGTACATTACGTATTGTAAAAGACGATAATCCATTGAGTCCACAGGGAAACTCTTTCACCTCCTTTTGACATTCCAAAGCTCTTGACAAAATTTCCTTTGCTTCTTGGTATATCTTACATCACAATAATACATATCATCCCAAATCTCCTAAGCCACCAAGTTGTACAGTATTATAAATAAAACATAACCAAATTGTTTACCTTTTCTGGGAGATGTTAGCAGTAAGATCAATGACATGTGGCATCTAACAGAATATGGCACATACAGGACATGAGAAAATAAGAGATGGGGGAAACTTGGGACCAAGCCTGAAAATAAATTTCCAACGGTGCCTGACAAAGTGTCAGGTATCAACTGATTGGTGCCTGACACTGGACATTTTGTGCCTGACAAAAATATTAATGCAACAGAGCAACTATAGTTTTTAGTGGTCCTTGAAATAAAAGAAGCCAATGAAAAGCTTAGTCACAACAATTTTAAAGCCACTATAGCTAGTCAATTATATCATACGGAATATAAAACGGAACATAAATTTCACAGCATTTCACAGGCATATTGTCTTAATATTCATATGCGATGAAATTTGAATTCACATAATTTTTAAATGTGGAATGCAAATATTTAGAAATATATAATGAATTTTTTAATAGTGCCAGTTTCACCAATAGTATATTAATGTGCATGCTGCCAGACAAACTGTCCGGCAAGGAAACAGTTGTGCCGGACAATTACCTTTTCGTACCGGACAATGTCCGTGACCGGCCGCTTATTTTCAGGCTTGCTTGGGACATTAACTGCATGACCCAAAATTAAAAAATTCATTAAATTCATAAACATATATATTCTTTCATTTTTATTAAATTCAAAATTTCTTGTCAAAATGCCTTGTTTTTGTGTATGTGACACGACTTACAAGCTAAGGTCAAGACGAGGCTCAATAGTCAAGATGACATACTTTCTGGAAGGTTGTATTGAACTACCATTTACTTCACTTCATTCCTGTAATAACTTAATGTGTATAATAGATAGGACTAATTATAATTGCTAATTATTCACTAACGTATTGCTAACACGTAAATATGTAATCATATATTCATAGTACCCGAGTGTAAAGACATTTTAGATTAATAAAGTATGCATGTGCACAGCACAACATTGGCGACGAGGATAAATCGAAATTAAGTGAAATTCAGTTGATCCCAAAAATAACGAGAATAAAGTGCAATAAATAAGAATATGGACCACAGAGAAATCGCTGAAGCCCAGTCAAGTACAAGTGCTGTAGGAACAACACAAAATGCAGCCGTAACCATAATTTATCGACACTTAAATATCGGACCATTTCAGTTGACGAGAGACAGCAACGATACAGCAGTTCGTTGGGCGAAATGGAAGCAGAATATCGAGTGACAATTCAGGTTTTTCAGGTATTGGGACCAGTATATGAACTATCCCACGCAACCGCATGATTCTAATGGAAAAAAAGCATTGAATAATACTTTGTTTTGAGAGCCAAATCACTTGCAAATCTATACAGCAATTCTACATATGATACGAATATCACTAGACCAAAAATAGCTACAAAACAATGTTGTTTTTTTTAAATATACACTGTCAACTGTAAAAAAACATTTGTAAAATTGGATACAAATGTTTAAAAAAGTTGTTTACTTCTCAAGAAAACTTTCACGTTTTTAGTCATGTTTCTACAAAATTAAAGTGATAATATGTAAACAAAAAAATATTTCAGTTTCATAGCCTAATTGTTCATTTTTGGAAAAAGTGCAAAACCAAACATGAAATAAAAAACACGTCCACTTGTTAATAGGCTGTTACAGCTCATAGATTGAGTGAAAGGCAAGGCTCAATTAGCTTCAACCTTAAAGAGGTTTTGTTGTTTTCATCGATTTGATCCTTCACAATAATCCTTGGCTATCCATGGCACTCAAATAAATTGAAAAGTTGACAAAAACAAAACTGTCTACTCAGTGATGCTTTTCAATAAGGGGAATGTCTCGAGTTACTAGAGGCTATTTTCTAACTTTATTTGCATTTTACTCATTAGTTTCATAGGTGACCTATCTTCAAATTTTGACCACATATTTATTTTGCAGTAAATTTTATAAATTTCAATTTTTAAAAAAATCTTTAGTGTGGAAATTTTGCAATAAAATAGGTCGCTGACATTGTTTTTGAGATAGCAGCACATTTATGGGTTAAATTGGAAGGCTTTATGCTGTCGTCATGTTGCCATGGGAACACTGATGTTGTTGAAATAACTTTAGGGAGCCTCCTTAAGGTGATTCTTTTAACCTTGCGTTTCCAAATATCATTTGTAATAACTCCCACCGAATGTGGATGAATGTAGCTGGCATTGGTACATCTGTATAAATCAAGTCTAACAGTACTCATAATTGCCAATCATCCTAAAAATTCACTTAAATCTACTGCCCTAGTACACTCTTATTTAATTCCAAAATTCTGTCAACATGTCTACATTTACATTAAAACAACATCAATATGCACAATTGGTATTGTGGAGTCTGAAAACGTCCTAGTTTTTTATGACAACAGCCTAGTTTTTTTTCCCAAACATGGTAATTCGAGGACGTTCCCAGACCCCTGCGCAAAAAAACTAGGACGTTTCCAGTCTTCACCTTTTCTCGCCCAGAAAACTAGGCAGTTTGCATTTATATAATTACAATGCATGATATCAAATTACATTTGCGCAAATCTGTTGCAATAACATTGGTGCAAACAGAAAAAAGCAAGAAATGCATTATATTTGTTATATTTAGTACACCTACCAATAGTACAATGTACTGAATATTAGTTATTATGCTTATTACACATTTACTGAGGTAATGATTATTTATGCAATGACGAAATGTGATTCATGTTTGGCATACATTACATTGTAATTTTTAAATTAGCACTTGTGTCAAAATTTGTAATTTCTTATTTTCCTAAAATGCTCTTAAAACTGTATAGTAGCTTTGTTTTGAAAATTTTTGTTTGAGATATTTCATTTTGTTTGTAACCATGTAACGTCAATGACTTAATTACATATATAATGAGACATCAGTATTGTTGTGTATCTTTGCTGTTTTTATAATAATAATATAATATATTGAATTTGTCACTTTATACATGATACAAACTAATTAAAGGGAAATAAAGACAGATACAAATTGACAGGGGAAAGGAACAGGACTCTTGTCCCAATTGACACCTAACCCCTAAAAAGACGTTAAATATAAATACAGATAAAGAACAGGTTATGACACATTAGTTATAACAACTTATACTAGCTAAGATTTGAATTGTGACTATAAAAGTAATGAGTGTTTACACACTGCAGATTACGATTATTCAATGTAAATATGATGAAAATGGCCGGATGATAGTTCAACAAATCACAATGTGTAGACGCTGATCACACAGTGCCTGGAGGTACCGTAATGCAATAACTTAGTAGAATACAACTTATGAAGACGAGACTTGAAGATACTTAATGAATTGGAAGATTTGACATGAGAGAGGGCAGAGTGTTCCATAGTTCAACCATTCTAATGAAAAAATAATTTCTAAAATAGTCCTGCTTGTGTTTAATTATAAGATTATAGTTGTTTTCAAAAGTGCATATATATTTGTTCACATCAATAGTAATTGTTCCAGTTCTACAGGGTGTATCAAAATAAACGCAATTCATCTTTTGTGCTCAATAACTTTCGGAATACTATTTCTAGTTAAACGCTTATAGGCTTACTTCAAAGCCTGTTCTTTTCTCTTTCAAACAAACTATTATCCTTGTCTCCAATGCTAGTAATAAT